CCTAACCCTTCACCATCTCCCATCCCAGTTTTATCCCCTAACCCTTCACCATCTCCCATCCCAGTTTTATCCCCTAACCCTTCACCATCTCCCATCCCAGTTTTAGCACATAACCCTTCACCATCTCCCATCCCAGTTTTAGCATCTAGCCCATCACCATCCCCCAACCCAGTTTCAGCACATAATCCCTTACCATCCCTCAACTCAGTTTCAACACCTAATTCCTCACCATCCCTCAAACCAGTTTCAGGCCCTAACCCAACACCATCCCCCAAACCAGTTTCATCCCCTAACCCATCACCATCCCCAAACCCAGTTTGAGCACCTAACACAGATCCATCTCCCAACTCACTTTCAGCACCTGATAACACAGATCCTACAACATAAAAGAACACTTCCCTCATGTTGCGTAGTTCTTCAAAAACAGACTCAAATTGAGTTTGTGTGGTAATCAAACGATGTTTTCTAGATATAATGGTGTAGATAACAATAGGGTTAGGGCATCCTTTAATTCTAGCCAAACCCTTAACATCAGATAAAGAAATCTCATTCTTATCAACATAGTCAAATACCATACTCTCCCCACCTAAATATGCTGAGTATTTAGGCCCAATATCAAAGAATCCTCCATAATGAATAGCAACAGTAAAGAAACTATTTGTTCCTCCTGCAAATAAAAACCAAAAAAAAAACAAAAAAAAAATATTAAACATTGGACCTACATGTCCCCTCATCAACCTATTTACAAACAAAAATAGCAACTTCTACTTACCATATTGCGGACATGATCGATACGCATCCTTCTTAGCCCGCAACTTCAGTTTGCAACCAGAAATCGCAATTCCTCGGGCGATTCTCTCAATAGGCTTCATATTCCGTTTTGATTTCGTCATTGATTAAGCGATTGAGATGGATTATTCGAGAATTCAAATATATTCTGACATTAGGGTTAGGGTTTTTTTTAGCGAGTGAAATTTTTGAAATTGGGGTCGACGAGATGAATCGTTATTTTTTATTTCTGTCTATTTATAGTCGCGTTTGATATTTGCTAATCCATCCACGTATGAAACGCCACAATGTAATCCTCCCACGTAAGCAAATAATCCGTCCAAGTCAGCAGGTTATCAATCCGTCATGAAAAATGGATGTAATTTGGTTAAATTGGCAACATAGTGGACTATTTTTGTGATGGACTACATGATGGACCAATTTCGGAAAAGTGCCAACTTAGTGGACTTAAATTGAAATTTTGCCGTAGTGAGACATACTATATTCTCAAAGAATGTGATGCAGACCACATGTCAATCTATCACGTATCATTAATATCCTTTTTCTTAATGATCATCGATTGAGGTAATTTAAGAGTTATACTCTATCAATTAACATCTCACTTTGTTAATGACAGTATTAACTCTAAGGGAGCCATTAATTAATAAATTACAGACAATCAAAAGAATTCATCAATTAATGCAAAACTATGAATATCATCAAATATAATATGAATGTGATCAAGTACATTTGTCCCAAAATTGATTGTCTCTAGGACACATATACTAACAGCAGTAACTATCCACCTAATCGGCGGACATTATAGTCAGTTGGATGAAGTAAATAGAATCAAAGTCCAACTCTGAAACTAAGAAAAATACAGTATATGAAGTGTTCCAATCCAACACAAAACGCGCAAAAGCACTTTTTTCGTAGGTCCACTCCGTATAGCCTTAATTTCAATTCATATTATATCTTTATTTATAATTAAGCCATAGCTAGACCCCCTTTATATTATTTTCTTCACCCTTCTCAAAACCTCTCTATGGAATTTCAAAACCATTAATTAACCTTTTCCTCCCTTCTCTCTCTTTTCTCTCTCTCTCTCTCCATATTTCTGGCTGACGAAAAGAAATTAACATCTCTCTGCTGGTTAATGGATATTGATCTCCTGTGGTCTCTTAGGGGGTGCAGCTCTTTCATCATCTCTAAGTTTGCATGGCAAAAACACCCAAAATCATCAACTCATCTTTTCCAACGCCATCATCATCAATTCTTGAGATTTCTGCAAAATCACGGCATTCTTTTCTTCTTCTCTCTCTTTTCCTATTCTTCACAATCACTGTGCTTGTGTACTCTACCGCCGATTTCTCGAAACCGAAAATGATGGTGGGCCGTAGTTTTACATCCCGTGGAAGAACACTCTTCTCGGGAATTTTTTCCGAACAAAACAAAACGACGAATAACTACAACACAGCTAATAGGAAAAGAGGGAATTTTAGACCGAGAGTAAGAGATTTTAATTCAGGTAAGCATGAAGTTCCCAGTGGACCAAACCCTGATTCCAACAGGTAACTCAAGATTATTTTACAGTGAAGAATATATATCTATATATATATATATATATATGTTTTATGGGATCCGCTTGATGATGAGAGGCATATTGCTAGACGGAGATTTGAAGAAGAAAATAATTAATTTTGAAACGGGCCGGGCTGGGCCGTTATATATGTATTTATGAGTTTGCTATCTATACTATGAACGAATATATTATAACCGTGTGAGGTTTGTGAGGTTTTGTCAATCATATGTTTTCATAATTTCTTTCTCATTTCATTTTTTATTTTTATTTTTATTCTGGGGTTCATTTTATTGTGATTTGTGAAGGTCCCTATATCGAAATTCTGCTCTTTGTGCTTAGACGACTTTGAATCTTTGGTGATGGTGTTATATATATTGCTGGAGAACTATGTAGATAGAGAAATTAGTTAATTAACTTTGTATACATTTCTTAGGTTTTGTTTCATTTAATGATTTATATAATCTAGCTTTTTGTTTCTTATCCATTATGTCCTTTAGTGTTTTGGTCTTAGACGTGATTCTTTTGATATTGTTATTTGACTAAAAGCTGCACTCCCGATTTAACAAAATCATGATGATATTAAATTAATTTCGATAGTTATTCTGGTCCGAATTTTCAATTAGAATATGATGTGTAAATTGTTAGGGTTTTCAGTGCCCAATCCCAAATGGTGGGCGACAGACCTTTTGTTTTAGGCTCAATCAATTATTCGAATAGCTTTTTTTGGACTTTAGCTTTTTGTCTTTTCAGCATCTGGGCCAGAGAAAAATAAAGCAGGTTAACTTGTACAAAAGCTACATATTATAACACCCTATCATTTCATAATCACCGCTCCATTGATTTGATTCTATCATCACTGCATAAACGTACAATTTTAATATGATATCTGCATGGTGAATTCCTTGGATACTCTGTAAATGGAGACACAGTCACAAAATATTATATGACACATTGGATGTTGTATTCGATAACATTTGAAAATTGCTTGGCCTTCATATTCTACCATGTTTCGAGATTGATCTCTCATCAAACTTGGAATTATATGTCTTTACTTTTTATCCTTCGTCTATTAATTGATTGAACCAGTTGAGAATAATTGTTGAGGGGTGAGATTTGATGTGACATTTCATTTGTTATTTGGAAAACGACAAAGACCAACATGAATACACCATAGAACGGTTCGATCAAACAACTAACATGAACCTCTTATAATCCCGAATAAAGTACACAATGTAAAAAACAATTTCGAAACATACGAAGAACGCTGTCTTTAAGACGAAAGTGCCATCGGTTGATATTCACTGTTTCCACAAACATCTCTCTAAGTCACGACTTTTATCTTTTCTATAGTGATATTTCAAATATACAATATTTCGAATAATTTACTCGTGTTTAGAATTCTCACTAAATGAATGAATAATAGATAACAAAATATTAGCATGTTCTATCTTAATTTATTATTTTTTTGCTTTTTTAAATTTCAAGAGTCATATGTGTATTTATAGATGTAGGAAGTAATTAGCATGAGGGTTACGGGTTAAAAGAAACATTTGGCCAAACAGATGTCGGGCCAAGAATGGGTGGCTATGAAAAATGGTACTCAATGGTGAGATGCATCCTACGCCAGGTTGAACTATGATAGTTGTTTTTAGCCGAGTACGATTAAAAGATCTCACTTGGGTCGTCGCTCAAAGGAAGACTATTCGGAGCGTCGTCTACCAATTAGTTGTCAAAAGCACACAAAAATGACAAATAAGGTCCTAAACATGCTAATTGATTGACTGTGATTGATTTTTGAACTCAAACGAACTAGAAAACTAAAGCAATTGAATAAAGATGCAAGCTTTGGAAGAAAGATCGGAACTTTGATTGTCCAGAGTCTCCACAACTCAAGAAAACGAAAATAAACAAAGAGAAACATGCGAGTACTAAGATCCTAGGTAATTAACACGAGCCTTCTTAACCTAATAATCGAGTTTTGCACAAAGTCTCAACTTTTAACACAAGATAAGTACGTATTTAACTCCTAATTTCACTTAGACAAGCAATGAAAATAAAAAGATCCAAACTTTGCCTCCTTCAACTAGTAAACACCACATTTACCTTGAAAAACTTCATATGTAAAAAGCGGAACAAATACGGAGTAATGAATCTTAAAACTAAGTACTCATTCTCTTATTGCATGCTCGAAGAAATCAGAGTGAAAAGCTCAAAACTTTCATAAAAACAAAGTCACCAGAAAGTCGCTGGAAAATATGAGTCATGGAACTCCCAACACAAAGATAGAGAGAAAAATAAGAAAAAAAAAACTATTCCCAAAGTGGGAAAACAAGAAAATGAAAGCTTGGTTCCCAACTACAAAGGGAAGTGTTGGGCGCGGCCTCGGACTGGGGCAAGTGCGACCCGGTGGGCAAAGTTTGGTTCATCACACTCGCGGATCGATGCTCGTGGGCGAGTGTTGGGCGTGGCTGGTGCGCCGGTAAGGACTCGGTTATGGCCCAGGACGGCTCTGGGTGACTCGGAATGATCTCGGGATGGCTCGACCATGATTCAGATGGTTAGATCAATGGCTCGATTAATGGCATGTATTCCCAAGCTTGCATAATGGACCTAAACAACACCAAAATACANACGATGAACGCAAAAATACACGAAACACGATAAAATGGACCTATCAACACTAAAACAGACCTAAAAATACACGATTAGGCACGAATAACACATGAAAAACACGACAAAAGTACAATAAACACGCAACTTCGACGGCACAATCGACACTAAATTATTTCCTTCCCCTCCAACTTACAAAGAACCAAAAAAGTATGAAGAACAATGAAAAATACAACAATGCACAACTAAAATGAAAATTAACAACTACAGACAAAATAGACCATGGTATGGGATAACATACTCTTACCTTATATTTTTAAAGCTCGACCGCAAGTGTACGGCTTCGCTCGTAGTATGTGGCAAGCAAGGTCGTATCCCAAGAGACCAAAATATTAATGTATCAATTATTAGATTATGATAGAGTCAACTTTATTCAGACGACCGAATTGAGATATTTTAACTAAACTAAGAAAATATAATTAAAAAAATAAAACAAGTACAAGGAATTAACTAAAAAACACGTAAGACGAATATATGAGAATGAGAGATTTTAAGACTATGATTTCAATTAACAGTTAGGATCCATCACAAATATCACAACTAAATGTTTCCTTTTCTACCCTATAAGATGATCCCAAATTTAACTCATCGTCCCTCTCGAGATTGATAAAACCGTAGATTAAATTACATATAATAGCGTCTCTACTCAATACATGCAATTCAATTCCAAATAGAAAGATCTAGTATCCTCACAACAGCCTACTAATCTCCCGATTCAATCAAGTAGATTGTGTCAAATTATTAAAGACCTAATATTGAACTCATCTGTCGAATTATGAACAACATTATCAAACATGTAAAAGCATTGGCCAAGTGATAAATATGAAAAAAGAACAAAATATTTGAATAGGGTTCAAAAGAAAACAATCAATT